AAATTGTATTTCACATTTTATTATTTTGTATCGCGTTAACTCTATCATTATATTTCTATATTTTGATATTCATTCATAATAAAAAATTAATCCACTCGTCCTCCAAAAACTATCAAAACTTTTTATTTATTATTAGGTGATATATTAATAAAAAGTGTAAGAATCTAAGAAAAATATATGTCGTATTATTCACAAAGAGGAGTACACACATATATATAGATACATAGATGGGCCTGAGCCTAAATAGGACCTAAACCTAGCCTATAATACAACCTTAATATTTACATGTCTAACACCCCCCTCAAACTCAAGGTGGTATCGTGGAGATCAACTTGAGTTTGCTAAGAAGTAAACAAAAGCGACCGGGAAGAAGAGACTTCGTGAAGACATCCGCTGGTTGATCCATAGAAGAGACGAAAACAAGCTTCACAGTTCCATGTGCAACATGCTGTCGAATAAGGTGACAATCAATCTCAATATGCTTGGTGCGCTCATGAAAGGTATCATTATGAGACATCTTTATAACACTCTGACTATCACAGTGTAAAGCATTAGACGACGACTGAGGAGCACCAAGATCAACAAGTAGTGGACGTAACCATAAGAGCTCAGAGGTGGAATCAGCAAGAGCGCGGTACTCAGACTCAGCACTCGATCTAGAGACTAAAGTTTGCTTCTTACTACGCCAAGAGACGAGGGAATCACCCAAAAAGAAGCAGTACCCAGTAATGGAACGACGATCAGTAGGATCTCCAGCCCAATCTGCATCAGAATAGCCGCTAAGTGTCAAGGAAGAACGGGCTGAGAAGTGTAAACCATGCAATAGAGTGCCCTTTCACATAGGGAAGAATGTGCAACACAGCAGAATGATGTGTGGTTCTCGGAGCAGCCATAAACTGACTCACAATATGAACAACATGAGCTATATCAGGCCGAGTGACAGTCAAATATATCAAACTCACTACCATGACAGAAACTGGGGGAAAATGGGTGCTGGCCCACTACCATAAAGGACACCATGAAAGAAAGGAAAAGTCCATATGAAGTCCAAATGGGGTTCCATCCCAAAACCAATTAGTGGAAGGAGGAGTAGCCCATTAGTCTTATAAGGTGGGTCTATTTTTCATATATGACGATGTGGGACAACTCACAAGTGATATTCTAACACGCCCCCTCACTTGTGAGTCCTTCGAAAGCCCAAGCCCAACTGGACTGGGTGTCCCAAGCCTTACTACAAACAGGCTCCCATAAACAGGTACGTGGGGGATAAACAATGGGTACGTCATCACACGGTCCAAGATAGAACCGGCTCCGATACCATGTAATTATTAATGTAATAACTTTAATCATTTATACATAACTTAATCATTTATCCATAACTAACCATTTATATAGTGACAAAAATTTTTATATTATAAAACCGTTGAATTACCGGTCATTAACGACGACTTTATTTTTTGTCATTACTCTTTGTCACAAAATGTTTCTTTACCCTCTTATATAAAATAAATGTATCTAATATTCAAGGAAAATGCTCCTGTCTAGTAACGGGAGTACGGGACCATTCCCTTACATTAAACTAATATTTTGATCTGGTGCATTTGCACAAGATTAAAACACGTTTTTATTTGTATTTATTAATTAGACATGTACTTTTATCATATAAAAATTATTACATTTTGTTTTGGAGGGTAAAAATATAACTCCTTTTAGAGTAATTAATTAGATTAGTGAGTAATTGGGTAAAATTGTAACTCCTTTTTAGACATGATACTCTATCATTTTAATTAAATTAGTGAGTAATTAATTAAAAAAATGTAACTCCTCTTAAAGAGAAATGAAAAAAGATTTTATTAAATATTTTATTAAATGCATCAACTAGTAAATCCTTTTCTCACAGTACTGTAGCATTCTTCAATATTAAATCGTAACCACTTATGAAGTCATCATTGTAGATATCAAATGTATTAGTGTTAATTTCGTGTAGTCACAAAACAAGGATACAATTAGTAATAAAAAAAAAAATGTCATCGCAATTGAGAAATTTGAAGGAAATCATTATTTTTAACATGACTTTAAACATAATGGATCAATTGTAATGTTGAATAAAATATTAAGAAGAAAAGCAGTTTAATTGGAATTTTCATTATAGTGAATGATATAAACTTGTGGTACCATATATTTTCTTCTTATTTACTGACATTTTTTTTTAAATATTTATATGCTGAATGTAAAGATAAAATTTATGCATATTTTTTTGTTTTTCTATAATTTAGGTAATAAAATAAAAAAAAAGTTAAATATCATGATATATTTAACGAAAAAAAAAGCTATTCATTTATTCGTATATATTTAACTATTTTTTATTAATTTATATTTTAGTATTTTTATGTCGCATTAAATTTAGTGTTTATTTTTATTTTAATATCCATTCACATTTTAAAAATAATTCACTCATCCTACAATATTTTTTCTCTTAATCTTTTATTATTTATCAGGAGGTAATTTTTTTAAAGAAAGTTCCAATATCCACTAGCATCTTTAATCTTCTCTATTTTGTACTTTGTTTGATTTTTTGTGGAAAATGATATAAAACACATATTTGGAAATGACTGAATTAGCCTTTGACGGGAAGGTGATTTGTTTAGAAGAAAAGGAATTTGGTGAGAGATCGAGGAGGGGTTAGGTGGACACTTCATGCGTTATACAAAAGTAATTCAAAGTTTTAATTGTTTAATAAAAAATAAAGTCGATCCGTGATATTTATTTTAATAAAAATATATATTTAAATTCTAAAATAACAATTTTTGTAGATATTATTTAGAGTATGTCATTTTCAGTGTGGAAGCATACATATTTATTGAAAAATATTTACTATTATTAATTTGTATTGTTTAAAAGAAATGCAAATGTTTTGTCTGATTATGATGTATCAACCTTGTTAGAATGTTTACTCAAAGGCTATAATTAGCTCCTCAAACGTAATGGTAGACGGGTTTTAAATCAAAGGTTAGACAAGATTTGCAGAATTTAAAACAAAAATTCGGACCTACACATAAGATTTATGACAAAGGTTTTTACATACACAATACATATATAATTGACATGTTCATGTATTTCAAAATTATTAGTATGCACAGAACAAAGATATTAAATGAGTTATTTTCACATACTTTGTCCGTTTAAGTCTAAAAAGTAATAGAGTTATCATCTATTTTCCACCTCTTTTAATTACCGTTAAATCTAAAAAACAATATGATTATAATCTATTTTCTACATCTTTTAATCAATATTTTTTTAGCCAGAATATTAAATATGAGAATGTTAGAGCTAGCTTGTAAAATATTTATTATGTTATCTCTGTAACACAGTTATACTAAATAAATATGATTGTAGAATATATATTTATTCTTTAATATAAGATAAAATCACAATTTTACTTATTTTTGTTCACCATATAATAATTAATTATTGTTTTATTGTAAACGTTGTTGTCATAAAATGTCATTATTATTTATAAAGGTTATAGAAGTTGTACGTCTTTTTTTTTTTCATTTTATTTTATGTAATAAAAAATATTTAATACACGTTAGTATTATTTATTTATGCAATCAATTTAAAATATGAGAATGAATTTAAATTAGATAGTGTATAAATATTTTACAAAATACACACACACACGTTTTTTTAGAATTAATTTTGTATACTAATTAAACAACTTTGATTTAGCAAATGCCAAAAACTCAATCACTTTTATAATCAAGATTTTTCTAATGTGCATTATAAGGATTTATCGTTTATTTAGCATACTCTGCAATGAAATATATTTTACAAGAATTTCATTATAGAAAAAAAAATATAAAAAGAAAGATAAAAAATATAATCATGGTTGTCAATAATATACAAATAAATTCTAAAGAACAGTTAATGTAATTTAATTTTAATTTTTGACCATTAGTAAAACTATTTAATATATCTGATCTTACCTCTTAAATGGAAAATTATATTAATTTGAAGAATAACTTATTTTTTATATATAATGAAATATTGCTTAATAAAAAAATTATATTAGCAAAGATTAATTCACCAACTTAATTTCGCCTAATTACTTGGAAGAAAAAAATTCTACCTAACCTGTTGCTATTTTTTATAAATATTTTTGGATAAAAAGTGAATATTTGTGGAAAAAAATTAATGTTATGGTTAGAACTTATATCCACAAGAATCACGAAAAAATCAATCTTGGAATTTATTATAATGGACATCAATGAAATTATTGTAGATATTAATAAAAATTATTTAAGGAAACAATATTTTTGCCCATATCTGATTTGATCTTAATTGAAAACGTGTATATAGAAACTATTAATGCATATATTTAAAAAGTTTCCAAAAAAGATGTATGCATTAAATGCTCCAAAAAATATTACGACTATTTTTAGTAAATAGTTATTATTATTATTATTATTATTATTATTATTATTATTATTATTATTATTATTATTATTANCAATTTTGTCATAAGTATAATGATTCCTTTG